ACAGTGCAGACGGCCCCACCCCCACAGTGCAGACAGTCCCGCCCACAGTGCAGACGGCCCCACCCCCACAGTGCAGACAGTCCCGCCCACAGTGCCCATAGCCCTGCCCTACCTGTAAGCAACAGAAGACAGCAAAGAGGTAGTGGAAGGCCAGTGCATCCCGGTTCACGGCCAGCAACCCCAGCAGCCAGGTGGCGCTGACGAGCAGCAATAACAGGAAGGCCGTCCTCAGCAGGGAGCTGCGGGGCGGAGCCTGACTCAGAGTCCTCCTCCCTCCCACCCCCCCACCCCCCGTCCCTCATGCCTCAGTTTCCCCATCTGTAGACCGTGCATGGGTCCAGGGGGGTCTCCTGGCCACCCGCGCTCTCTCCAGCATGGCTGGACTGGTTGACGCTGCCCACCCCTCACCCCCAACCAACTTACATGACCCCTTTCCTTTCGTAATAATGGCGCTTTCTTTGACAGGACACCTTGGCAGACAGGACGAAAATGACTGTATTGATCTGGGGGAGAGACAAGGAAGTCAGGTGGCACAAAGGCTTGTTCTAAGTGGAGTCTTCCCACACTCTGAGTGGTCCCCGGGCGTCCCTGGACACATGGCCCTATTCTGCTTGCACGGGTGTCTCCGGGCGGAGGGCAGGGTCAGCGCTTGGTGGACGGGAAATGAAGGAAACCCTTAGCAGAGGATCTGAAGACGAGTCTGGGGGCGGACTTGGTGACTGCAGCCCCTCCCTGTCCAGCGGCAAGCTGGGTCCTCACATCCCCGGTACTCACGATGATCACAGCTCCAATGGGCCCAGCGAAACTCCAGATGAGTGTGTCTCGCAGGGACAGCCAGCAGAAGTCAGGGTTCCCATAGCCCTGTGGGTCCAGGCCCACAGCCAGTCCTGGACACAGCAAGGAAGTAGGCAGATTAAGAATGCTGAGTCCCGGGCCAAGGGATCCTACACAGGTCCTTCCAGGCAAGAACTGTCTAGGTGGCCCCGGAGGGAACAGGGCACTCAGAGGAAGCCCCCAACCACCCAGGTGGCTGCTGAGGAGACCAGAGAGGGCCCCTCGGGGCTGGGAGGGCAAGGCTGGGTGCCTGACTGAGTCGGAGGTCATGTGTGTGAGAATGTGTACACACATGGACACACACAGTAACACACACAACGCTTTTACACAAGCGTGCACACATGCTGGCACACATGTGCAGACAGAGATAATGTTCGCAGGCACACAGACATGCTCACAAACACCTCCTATACATGTGTTTGCTCACACAATGCTCGTGCAGGCACAGATAATACTCACAAAGGCACATACATGTGCTCACAACGCCCCACATGCTTACTCACACACAGACACATACATATATACATGCCTATAACACTCATGGAAGCAGCAGTCAAGAGATCAGATGACGTATTGCATTGGGCAAATCTGCTGCACAGGAACTTTTTAAAGTACTGAAGAGCAGAGATGTCAGCTTGAGGACTAAGATGCGCCTGACCCAAGCCATGGTGTTTTCAATAGCCTTATATGGATGCGAAAGCTGGACAGTGAATGAGGAAGACCGTAGAAGAATTGATGCCTTTGAGTTGTGTTGGAGGAGAATACTGAAAGTGCCATGGGCTGCCAAAAGAACCAATAGATGTGTTTTGGAAGAAGTGCAGCCAGAGTGCTCCTTGGAGGCCAAGATGGCTGAGTTTCGTCTCTCATACTTTGACATATTATCCGGAGGAACAGTCGCTGGAGAAGTATGTCATGCTGGGTAAGGTGGAGGGTCAGAGAAAAAGAGGAAGACCCCCGACGAGATGGATCAGCCAGATGGCATCATTGATGGTGTCAAGTGTGGCAGCGGTAATGAGGTTTGCCCAGGATCAGACATTGTTTCGTTTTGCTGTGCACGGGGTTGCTATGAGTCGGTTCCGACCCGATGGCACTTGACAACAACATACCCATTTGGAATGTATGAAGTATGAATCAGGGAAAATTGGAAGTTGTCAAAAAATGAAATGGAACGGATAAACATAGACATCTTAGGCGTTGTTGTTATGTGCCGTGGAATCGGTTCTGACTCATGTTGTTGTTGTTAAGTGCCATCGAGTCAGTTCCGACCCATAGCGACCCTGTACAGGGTTCCCAAGGGTATAAATCTTTGTTGTTGTTGTTGTTGTTAAGTGCCATCGAGTCAGTTCCGACCCATAGCGACCCTGTACAGGGTTCCCAAGGGTATAAATCTTTGTTGTTGTTGTTGTTGTTAAGTGCCATCGAGTCGGTTCCGACCCATAGCGACCCTGTACAGGGTTTCCGAGGGTGTAAATCCTTACAGGAGTAGAAAGCCTCATCTTTCTCCCGCGGAGTGGCTGGTAGTTTCGAACCACTGACCTTAAGGTTCACAGCCCGATTCGTAACTACTACGCTACCAGAGTAGCGACCCTATTTCCGAGAGTTTCCAAGGCTGTAAATCTTTACAGGAGCAGAAAGCCTCACCTTTCTCCCACAGAACAGCTTGTAGTTTCGAACTGCTAACTTTGCGGTTCGCAGCCCGATTCGTAACCACTGGTCAGAGAAAAAGAGGAAGACCCCTAACGAGATGGATCGGTCAGGTGGCATCATTGATGGACTCAAGTGTGGCAGTGGTAGTGAGGTTGGCCCAGGATTGGATATTGTTTCGTTCTGCTGTGCATGGGGTCGCTATGAGTCAGTTCTGACTTGATGCACCTGACAACAACAACAACGCCACCAGAGCTCCTATTAGTGAGTTGAAATGGACTGGTATTGGCCATTTTGAATCTGACGACCACATGGTTTTCTATGCCAGGAATGACAAATTGAAGAGGAATGGTGTTGCATTCATCGTCAAAAAGAACATATCCAGATCAGTCATGAAGTACAACACTGTCTGTGATAGAATAATATCCATGCGCCTAAAGGGAAGCCCAGTTAATACCACTATTATTCAAATGTACGTACCAACTTCTAAAGCGTGTGAGGAGAAAACAGAAGATTTCTACCAACTTCTTCAATCTGAAATTGATCAAACATGCAATCAACCTGTATTGATCATTACTGGTGATTGGAATGCAAAGGTTGGGAGCAAAGAGGAAGGATCAGTTGTTGGAAAATATGGCCTTGGGTATAGACATGATGCATGATAGAATTCTGCAAAATGAATGATTTGTTCATTTCAAATACCTTCTTTAGACAGCATACGAGATGACTATACACATGGACCTCACCAGATGGAACACATAGAAATCAAATCGACTACATCAGTGGAAAGAGACAATGGAAAAGCTCCATATCATCAGTGAAAACAAGGCCAGGCGCAGACTGTGGAACAGACCATCAATTACTCATATGCAAATTCAAACTGAAGCTGAAGAACATAAAAACAAGTCCACGAGAGCCAAAATATGACCTTGACTATATCCCACCTGAATTTAGAGATCATCTGAAGAACAGATTTGATACATTAAATACTAAAGACCAGAAGACCAGAAGAGTTGTGGGATGACATCAAGAACAGATCATCCATGAAGAAAGCAAAAAGTTACTGAGAAGACAAAGAAGGAAAAGGTCAAAATGGTTGTCAGAAGAGACACTGAAACTTGCTCTCAATAAAGCAAATGGAAGAAATGAGGAGGTCCAAGAGCTGAACAGAAAATTCCAAAGATCAATTTGAGAAGATAAAGCCAAATATTACAACAAAATGTGCAAAGGTCTGGAATCAGAAAACCAAAAAGGAAGAACACGCTCAGCATTTCTCAAGCTGACGGAACTGAAGAAAAAAAATCAAGCCTTGGCTTTCATTATTGAAAGATTCTCTGGGTAAATTATTGAATGATGCAGAAAGCATCAAGAGAAGATGGAAGGAATACACAGAGTCACTGTACCAAAAGGAAATGGTTAATGTTCAACCATTTCAAGGTAGTATATGATCTAGAGCCAATGATAATGAAGGAGGAAGTCCAAGATGCATTGAAGGAATTGGCAAAGAACAAGGCACCAGGAATTGATGGAATGAAAATTGAAATCTTTCAAGAAAGTGAGGCAGCACAGGAGGCACTCACTCATCTCTGCCAAGAAATTTGGAAGACAACTATCTGGCTGACTGATTGGAAGAGATCTGTATTTGTGCCCAATCCAAAGAGAGGTGACCCAATGGGATGTGGAAATCATTGGACAATCTCTTTGCTATCTCAAGCGAGTAAAGTTTTGCTAAAGGTAATACAGAAACGGCTGCAATCATACATTGACAGAGAACTTTCAGAGGTTTAAGCTGGATTCAGAAGAGGATGTGGAACGAGGGATATCCTTGCTGATGTCCAATGGATCTTGGCTGAAAGCAGAGAATATCAGAAAGATGTTTACCTGTGCTTTATTGACTATGCAAAGGCTTTCGATTGTGTGGCTCATGACAAGCTATGGACAACATTGTGAAGTATGAGTATTCTAGAACACTTAATTGTACTTCTGAGAAATCTGTACCTGGACCAAAAAGCAGTTGTTCAAACAGAACATGGGAACACTGAAGTTTTAAAATTAAAAATGGTGTGCAACAAGGTTGTATTCTTTCACCATATTTTTAAACCTGTATGCTGAGCAAATCATCTAAGAAGTTGGGTTTATGAAGAAAAACATGGCATCAGGATTGTTTGCTGAAAGTGAAGAGGACTTAAAACATTTACTGATGAAGATCAAAGAGCACAGCCTTCTGTATGGATTATATCTCAACGTCAAGAAAACAAAAATCTTCACCACTGGACCAATAAACAACATTGTTATCAACGGAGAAAAGATTGAAGTTGTCAAGGACTTCATTCTTCTCGGATCAACTATCAACACTCATGGAAGCAGCAGTCAAGAGATCAGACCACATATTGCATTGGGCAAATCTGCTGCACAAGACCTTTTTAAAGTGTTGAAAAGCAAAGATGTCAGCTTGAGGACTAAGGTGCGCCTGACCCAAACCATGGTGTTTTCAATAACCTCATATGCATGTGAAAGCTGGACAATGAATAAGGAAGACTGTAGAAGAATTGATGCTTTTGAGTTGTGGTGTTGGAGGAGAATATTGAAAGTGTCATGGACTGCCAAAAGAACCAATAGATCAGTTTTGGAAGAAGTGCAGCCAGAGTGCTCCTTGGAGGCCAAGATGGCCAAACTTCATCTCTCATACTTCAGACATATTGTTAGGAGGGACCAGTCGCTGGAGAGTCAGAGAAAAAGAGGAAGACCCCCAACGAGATGGATTAGCCAAGTGGCAGCATCGATGGACTCAAGCGTGGCAACAGTGGTGAGGTTGGCCCAGGATAGGCAGTGTTTCGTTCTGCTGTGCATAAGGTTGCTATGGGTTGGTACCGACTCGATGGCACCTAACAACAACATACACATATGCACACAGAGAGCCCACCCATCAGACAGGCAGCTGGGCTGTGAACGCACTTGCAGCGGTCTGACCCCTGGGGGGCAGTGGTGTCTTGCTGACAAGGAAGGGGCTAGCTCAGGCAAGGTGAAGTTGGGATGCCCCTTTCAGCAGAGACCTTGTTTAGGGAAACAAGTGCAGGTATGATCTGCCCCCGCCCCCATCCTAGCTCCTCTTAGCTACAGCCCTTGCTCCGGCTTCCCTCTCCTCCGGCCTGTGCTGCCCTTGCTGCTCTCCTCCTTCAAATCTTAAAGCAGCTTAGCATCCTCCAGGGCCTCCCATGGTCTAAGGAGAAGACGAAGGAGCCTTGGTTGTGCAGTTGTTAAGTACTCAGTTACTAATCAAAAGTTGGAGGTTCAACCCCACCAGCCACTCTGAGGGAGAAAGAAGCAGCAGTTCGCTTCTGAAAAGTCGGTTGCTGTTAAATGCTGCTCCAGTCAGTTCTGACTTACAGTGACCCTGTATAGGGTTTCCAAGGAGCAGCTGGTGGGTTTGAACCACCAACCTTGTGGTTGGCAGTCCAGTGCTCATCCACAGGCTACCCCAGGACTCCTCTGTAAAGACGACAGTCTTGGGAACCCTATGGGGCACTTCTCCTCTGTCTTGTGGGGGGTCTGTGAGTCAGAATCAATTCGATGACAGTGGGAAGGGGAGGAAGTTTCGCTGGAGGCTCTTTGAGGCCCGACATGGTGCAGCTGTGGGGACAGTGCCCCACTCCCAGCCCCCATGTGCCAGGCCTGGCTCAAAAGGCACTTCCTCCAAGAGCCCTCCAGGCTCCTCCATGCCGAGTGCACCCCCAGTGTGAGTCTCATGGCCCAGCTACAGCTGTGTGCATTGTCTTCCAGGTGGGGGTGCCTCCTTGTGAGAACAGAGGCTGGATCCCCACCACCCCTCCCGGTTTGGTGCGAAGCCTGGCACCCAAGAAGCCCCTGCCGGGTAAGCGAATGAGCAAAGGTGTGGATGTCTGTCACCGGGTATTTGGACAGGTGAGACCTGAAGGGGTTGTGGGGCATACACAGGCAGACAGAGAGCCCACAGGGTCCTCCTTGTCTCCCAGGCCATCCTCAGGACAGAGTGGACATCAGTAACTCAGGCAGGGCCTGAGGACAGGCTCCATCCTGTCTGGGAGGGACACAGGATGAGGCACCCCTGAGACTGGAACCAAACTACAACCTTATCTGGGTGAAAGAACCCAGAGATGTACCCAGGTCACCGGATGGGAAGAGGCAGCGGGCAGCAACCTGCTGTGGATGAGGTCCAGCCGTACCCGCAGCCCACACTCTCAGTTCCTAAGCCCTTTTGCAAAAGACGCAAATGTTTAATAAGATATTCTTATTAAGTGGGAACTATGGACTCTGACTGTAGATGATAAAGCTGTCTCAGGAGGCCTTTTGATTCGTGTCTCATGTGTGTGTGTGTGTGTGTGGGGGGGGGGGGGTGTCTCTGACCAGATTGAACATGGAGAGTGAGGGACTGTGGGTGGGGACATGTGAGGTAGAAACTGTATTTTCAGCTGCTCCAGGTAAAAGTGTTCTTGATACCTTAGATGGCTGGAAGACGCAGAGGCGTATCTACAGAAAACGGTGCCACGGCATGCACTTCACTTTAATCTGCCGAGTGACCTTCTTAGGGGTCTTTTTCCTGTTGCCCACTGACGTGACTTCCCACAGCGGCACCCCCCCAGCCTATAGGGACCCTCTGCTGCCTCTCCCCTCACTGTTGGCTGCAGCTGCGCCGTGGGGGTTTTGTGTCACCTGTGCCCATGCTAGCCAGCCCAGCCCGGTGAGTTTTGTGAGGTGGGTGTGGAAAGGCATGTCTTGGCTCTTGTAAGACATAAATAAGGTGCCCTCACCAGACCTTTGTTTCCCAAATGCCCCCTGCACCCATGCATGAACTTGTTGGGGTTGAAACAGGCACCTTTGTGCTCAGGAGTCTTCTTTCCGGTTGGCTGTGAGGAATAGCAGGTGAGAGTAACAGCCAATCACCAGCCATGAGCTCACCTCAGGTGCTGGGCCCTTGTTGTTGGTATTCTTGCTGGTTTGCATGGTCCAGGGACAGGACCCACCCCCTCCCTGCCCAATTACCCCATCCATCTCTCCTGCATCCATCCAGCCATCCTTCCTCCTTTCTCCATCCACCCACCCACTCATCCTCCCTCTAGCCGCATATCCTGTCCTCCTCCATTCATGCTTTCTCCATCCATCATCCTTTCCTCCATCAACACATCTATCCCTCCTCCATCCATTTATCTTCCCTTCTTCCATTCATCCATCCACATATACCTTCACCCATCCATCCATATAATCAACCGTCCATACATATATCCATCTGTCCATAAACTCATCCATTCATCCATCCATCCAATCATCCATCCATCCATCCATCTATTCAATCATCCATCCATCCATCTATTCAATCATCCATCCATCCATCTATTCAATCATCCATCCATCCATCTATTCAATCATCCATCCATCCATTCAATCTTCCATCCATCCATCTATTCAATCGTCTATTCAATCATATACACATCCATCCATCCATCCAGTCATCTACCCATCATCCACTGGGCAGACACTGCATTTCTGTGTGTTCTGTTTGGTCCTGGAAACAGATGCTGACTGCAGAGTGATCACACTTTGCAGAGTGGAGGGCAGGGTCAGACCTTCTGGTACCCAAGAGTGAGGAGGACAGAGGTCCTCTCCTGCTTGTTGGAAGTTGGTTCCCCCAGGATGTGGGGGTGTGGGTTCTTGTGTCAACTACGATACACTACTCCCACCACGGGCCCGTCAGACTTGCCTGTGATGACAGCCGGGATGCCCCAGCCCACGACGTAGTAGAAGCGCATGGGCCCCGAGTCGATGTTGCGGGCCTCGGTCAGCATGCGGTAGACATGCAGGCCCTCCACGAAGGTCCAGGCGAAGGTACTCATGTGGACATAGTGCAGGATGATCGCGATGACCGTGCACACGAACTACGACAGAGAGGCGGGGGGTCAGTGGTACCCACATGGGAAGGGTCTTCATGAGGGAGGTGGCCCTGGGGGGCTGCCATGTTAGAAAGAGGGAAAATCAAGTCCTTTGTACTGGTCCACTCAGGGAGAGGGCGGGTGTGGCCCATCACAGGGTCCCAGACCCCACCCAAGGAACCCCCACTGAGCTGGCTAGGGTGGTGAGTTAGTGTGGCATGGGGACCGGGGCTCCAGGGGCACAGCTTCTATTATGTGCAAGAGAAGCTGGGACTCTGGGTTTTCATGGGATAGGTCTATATTGGCATTTAAGGGAGCATTGATACAAGTATTGTGGAGGTGGACATGCTGGGCCCCTGCCTGGTCCCCACGGCACAGCTGGTGTAGATGGACGGAGGGGGCGCTGCCAGCTTTCTGGCCTTTGCTGTTGACTAAGAATGAGCTCATCATCGTCTGGACGGAGCTCACAGAACCTTCCATTTTCGCTGAAGGAGGAACGGAGCTGAGACGACATGTCCAGGCTTTATCCCCAATAGGGCGGGCAACATGTCTGCCCATGTACCCAGTAAGCTGAAACCAAACCCCTGGAGCATCTCAGGGTAGCAAATGCTGGTCTCTCAGGGGTCTCTGGAAGGTAATGGCCCACCTGGCAGACCCCTGTGTCCTGCCCATCTGCTCTTGACCAGAGACTGGACACTGAATGTGGTGGGAGAAAGGACATTCACGGGGGGTCCAGGTGGGAGTTTTTATTGCAAATCGTGTCCACATGCTCTTTCTGCCCAGACTTTCTGGAAGGGGCTACCCAGGCCTCCACAGGCCGACGGGGCAGGTAGGACCCACCTGGATAACCCTGTCTCACCATCTAGCTGGTTCCACTTTGGGTCCCAGGCAGCCTGACAGCCACTCCCTCCAGCTGGGCTCCACTGATGAGACTCCCCCACCCCCGATCACATGCTGGATGTGGTTTTGCCAAGTCCAGATCTTGCGGACTGTGGGGAGCCAGGTGAGTCCTGGCTCTTGAGCTTGAGGTAACACGGGCACCACACCCATGTCGCTGTCATGGGGCCAGGTACTTCCCAGAAATGAAAGCCTGGAGGTATGTGAGGGGACCATTGTAGCCTTCACCTGAACCTCAGTTACCGCCAAGTCCTTTCCGACTCAGGGCGCCCCCACGTGTAGAGTAGAATTGCTCCACAGCGTTTTCAAGGCTGGGATTTTCCCGAAGCCGATCGTCAGGACTCTGGGTGGCTCTGAAGAGCCCACCTTCAGTCGTCTAAATGCTTAATCATCTGCACCCTCTAGGGACCCATGTATCTGTCAAACACATTACAAAACAGGACTCAAAGCAGACCTATGTAATGGCGGACATCTTGGCCTTGGACACCAAAGGTTAGGAAACAGGGATCTGGTGCTTGCTGCTGTGAAGTGCAATCGAGTTGGTTCTGACCCATATTGACCCTATATAGGGTTTCCGAGGAGTGGCTGGTGAGTTTGATCTGCCAACCTTGTGTAGTCCAATGCTTATCCTACAGCGTCACCCCAGAGACCTATGTGAAGGTGGAGGTTGTGCTCTTGACCTCAGACGCCAGACAAGGTTAGGAAATGGGGAGTCGGTGCTTAGCAGAGGGCAAAGTGCCCAACCTGGCTGCCAAGGGGTGAGTATGGCATAGGCAGGAACCCCACATCAGACACCCCAGCCTCCCCCTGGGTGGAAAGCATGAAAGACTGGCAAGAAGGCTTGTTTCCTTAACTAATGTGAACAGCAAACCCACAAAACCACCATTTGAAGAAGAAGAAATAAACAAGCGTTAGAAATGCGGCTCTGAGTTTAATAGGTTATGCAAGTACAGACTTCTGCACTGGGTGTCCCGCCTTTTCCAGCAAAAGAACAAAGACAGCACGTTAATGCGCAATAAATCATTTCAGCCTGTCAGTAATCCGGGAGATGAAACGCGTCGCCCAGAGGTGGGACTAGAGTTTACAGAGAGCCCCGGAGAGCAGGGCGCCGAGCCCAACCCCTCCGGCTTGTGTGCACTCTGCCTTCCCGCTCCAGCCGGAGAGCTCTCTACACTGCTCCAGACTGGCAGGGACAACCTCTCCTCACTGCACATCAGCCTGACTGTCCCCTCTATTCAAACTGTTCTAAACACACTGAAAGGGCTTTGAAATGCATCCTGGGGATTCCAACAGGAGGTCTTCACCTGCCAGGTGTACTGATAAGAGCATGCCTGGTTCTACCCCTAGAGAAATTTCCACCACCCTGGCTCGTCCCTGCTGGTGTCACCATAGGGCTGATGGGGCAGTGGTGGAGGGGGGCAGCCTGGACCTAGGGAGCGCCTCCAGGGGACAACCAGGAGGTTTTACCCTGCTCATCTGACACCGGGGCCTGAGTGCTGCTCTCCTGAAAAGCCCACAAGTCCACCAATGGCACCCTCTCAAAGTTGCTTGTCGGCTACATCCCACCTTTACCTGTAAGGTGGTGTTTGGCCACTTCAGGAGGGCCCTGAAGGGTCCCACCATCTGCAGCAACAAGGAGGAAGAGCTCAAGCCTGCATGTGGTCCTGATCAGTTAGCCAGAAAGTTCACCCTTTGCCTTTTCATTCCACTTCCTTTCCTGTTGGGGCCTGTCCATTCCTACAGTACACAGCAGGTGCCTCCACACACCCAAGCCCCACACTTTGCAGAGTCTCCCCTTGTATGTACGTGTCCAACCTCACCCCGACTCTTTCAATCCACCTGTTTTCATTCCAATCAAGGACATCTTCACCTCATCCATTTGTTCATCTGTCCGTCCATCCATCCCTTTGTCCACCCAGCTATCATCCATCTACCCCTCCATCCAACATCTATCATCCATCCATCCACCATCTATCATCCATCCATCCATCAGCATCTATCATTCATCCATCCATCCATCCACCAATCATCCATCCATCCATCAGCATCCATCTATCACCATCTATCATCCATCCATCCATCCACCCACCATCTATCATCCATCCACCCACCATCTATCATCCATCCATCCATCCACCACCAATCATCCATCTATCCACCAATCATCCATCCATCCACCATCTATCATTCATCCATCCATCCACTACCATCCATCCATCCACCCACCCACCACCTATCATCCATCCACCATCTATCATTCATCCATCCATCCACTACCATCCATCCATCCATCCATCCATCACCAATCATCCATCTATCCACCAATCATCCATCCACCAATCATCCATCCATCTACTAATCATCCATCCACCAATCATCCATCCATCCATCCCCATCTATCACCCATACATCCACTCATCCACTATCTATCATTCATCCAAGTTCTCTTCTACTCTTCCTTATGGAGACCTTAAAGCCATCTTCAACTTCTCTTCTCTTTCCCTCTATGCCTGGTTGGTCTTGACTCTTGCCTTGCTCATCATCATATACTCTCAGGGTCACTATTTCATGATGGACACATGGATTCTCTCTCACACACAGACACACAGAGTGACCTGTAGCACTTTAGGGAAAGACAGTTCTAGAAGCCTCAGTGCTGCTCTCAGTAGACAGATGTCTGTCCAGCATATTCACCACCATCCTGGTATGACACTGTGGGATAAAGCACTGGACCGCAAGGTCAGTTTGAATCACAAGGTTGGCGCATCAAACTCACCAGCTGCTCCTTGGAAACCCTATACAGGGTTGCTATGAGTCAGAACTGGCTTGATGGCACTTAACAATAACAACTTCCTACCGGTGGGACAGGCTGCTATGAGATGAACTGGGTGAAGGATGTAGGGAGCACACAACAGTGAGTGGAAGGTAGTCCTCCCCGTCCCCACACCCCACTTATACCCCACTGGCAGGCTATGACCTTTTTGTGCATTTTGAAAATCTCCTTCAGGTTAACAATGGAAAATCATCCACAAGCAGTCAAGGGCTGCCAAAGCCACAAGCTTCGCTCCCTCCTCAGGCGCTCGTCTCTGCTGCCCTGTCCCTACTTCCCTGCCTCTCTCAGGTACTAGCCCACTCCGTACCTCTCTCTGTTGCTCAGGCTCCCAGGATCACTCACCTTTGCACGAATACAAGCTCAGATCCCCCAACCCTGTAAAAGTTCTGCCTACCTCTACCCCGGAGTCCTGGTGTGGCGCTGTGGGTTAATGCACCAGACTGCAAAGCCGTTTAAACTGCAAGGTTGGCAGTTCAAGCTCACCAGCTGCTCCCTGGAAACCCTATATAGGGTCGCTATGGGTCGGAATCAACTCGATGGCACTTCACAACAACAACCCCCCCTCCCCCCGCTTGCTGTAACCAGCAGCTTCTTGCCTCCTGTTCAGTCAGACTTACTCCATGTCTTGTCTACACTCAGTATCATCTATTTCAGTATATTCCATCTTTACAACGACAGTTTCCAACATTTTGTGGCTGGTATAACCGATTTCACATAGATTACATCTCTGTTAACAGCTACTTTAGCGCACATGGTTAAGCACCTGGTTGGCTGCTAACTGAAAGGCCTGCAGTTTGTACCCACTCATGGCTCTTTGGGGCAGAAGTGATTTGATGGCATCAGCAACATCAACCATGATTTCTCAGAGTCTGTCTGCAGACTGAGTTTTCTGAGGTCTGTCACTGAGAGGAGCTAGCTTCCTCTTTTCATTTGCTTTTCTCACCCGGATTGCACTAGAATGAATAGAAATGGTGGAGTGAGCCCTTGTCTTTGCTCTGATTGTATCTTTTCTTCTAGTGACTGTAGGCTTACTTTGCTGGTACGTCTCTACCTGTTGGAGATGTTGTGTTAATGTGTTGACTTTGGTTCTTTCTTCTTTTTGTATGTGTGTGCTTATTGCTATAAATTGCCCTTTTAGCATTGCTTTTGCTGTATCCCAAAGGTTTGGGTATGTTGTATTTTTGTTCTCATTTGTTTCTAGGACATTTTTCATTCACTTTTTGTTCTGCTATCCAGTAACTTTTGTTGTTGTTGTTAAGTGCCGTCGAGTCGGTTTCGACCCATAGCGACCCTGAATAGGGTTTCCGAGGCTGTAAATCTTTACGGGAGCAGATCGCCTCATCTTTCTCCCGCGGAGCAGCTGGTAGTTTCGAACTGCTGACCTTCCGGTTCGCAGTCCGATTCGTAACCACGTCATACATTCACTGAAAAAATATCATGCCTTTTATCCCCTTAATGTATTAATTTCTCACTGAGAAACACGTCATACATTCACTGAAAAAATATCATGCCTTTTATCCCCTTAAATGTATTCATGAGGTGAGTACCATCTGTACATCTTCCCATGCCAGATCACCCTTGTATTCCTATGAAAAACCCAACTTGGTCATGAGTGTTTATACAATGATGCTAATCCTTTACTGTTTATAGGACGATTTAAACTTTCTACTCCTTAAATGAGTTTTGAAAAGAGAGTTGTCCTTTTCTGGAAATGTATATATTTTGTCTCAGTTTATAAATAATTAGCATGAAATCATTCAAAGTAATGAAAATCAGTTGGTGTTGAGTTGCAGTCAAACATCACAAGACCCGATCTTCTATAAGTTGAAGGCTTAGATGTTTAGAAGCCGGAAGTCAAGAATCTTGGAATAAAGACGGGCGATTCTCACTGTCTGTCCAGAAAAAACCTCATTCACTTTATAGATGCGGCTGGCCTCCCCAAGAGCACCCACCATGCCCTGTGAGACCCCCAACGTCCACTTGAGCCCCTGCTCTACCTCATGGGCCCTCATCACACCAAATGAACCCTGCCAATTCCCTGAGCTCCCAGGACCCCCATCATACCTCATGAGATCCCACAATCCCCCGTGAACTTCCATGATGTCTTGTGGATTCCCATGGCCCATAAGCCTTCTCTACCCCCGTGGCCCCCTACTATACATTGTGGACCCCCATGAGCCCCCACTACCCCCATGAGATTCCACGATTCCCCACGAGTCCATGTCCCAGTTTGCTGGGCTCTCACTGCTTGGGAATGGCAGCCCCTCCCCATGAGGACAAACAGAAGGATGTCTGGTCCCTGTGGAGGCTAACACACGGTGTTGCTCACGGGTTTGTCTTTGGGGTCACATGGGCCCCAGACTCAAAGCTGAAGAACCCTCTGGCCTGGTCCAGTGGACTGCAGGTTTGCTTTGGTTTTCAGCAGAGCAACCATGTTTAAATTCTTAGGTGAGAATGACCCTAGACCACCTGCCCAGATTCACACGAAGAAACAGAGAGAAAGAACGAGGTGCTGATATTCTCGGTGACCAGACACAACCACATGACCACAGAGGTGAGCCCTGAGGGCCAGACCCACCTCCGACTGGTCTCCTAAACCTCCTGCTCAGATCCCAGGACACAGTCCTTCCTCCATCCGTCAGACAGTGAGAAAGAGGTGCGTACATCAAGCATTCAAATGTACCATGGCACACACAAGCAAATACACAGATACCTACACAGACCCACACACAAATGCACACATACAGCACACATAGATACACAGCTGCAGACACACACACCACACACTTGAGCACACAGATTCATACAGATACACAGCTACACAGAGAGACACACATGTGAACAGACACACATACGCACATATGGACTCACATACACAGATACACATACTCAGACATATATACACACGGAGAAGCACATAAACACACTCACATGAGAAAAGACACACACACACACAGAGAGACACACATGAGCACAGACATAGCCAGACATAGATACACACATATGTTGTTGTTGTTGTTAGGTGCCATCGAGTTGGTACTGGCCCATAGTGACCTTATGCACAGCAGAACGAAACACTGCCCGATCCTGGGTCAACCTCACTACTGTTGCCACGCTTGAGTCCATTGATGCTGCCACTTGGCCAATCCATCTCACTGGGGGTCTTCCTCTTTTTCTCTGACCCTCCACCTTACCAAACATGATATTCTTCTCCAGTGACTAGTTCTTCCTGACAATATGTCCAAAGTATGAGAGACAAAGTTTAGCCATCCTGGCCTCCAAGGAGCACTCTGGCTGCACTTCTTCCAAAACAGATCTATTGGTTCTTTTGGCAGTCCATGGCACTTTCAGTATTCTCCTCCAACACCACAACTCAAAAGCATCAATTCTTCTACGGTCTTCCTTATTCACTGTCTAGCTTTCGCATGCATATGAGGTTATTGAAAATACCATGGCTTGGGTCAGGCACACCTTAGTCTCCAAGCTGACATCTTTGCTCTTCAACACTTTAAAAAGGTCTTGTGCAGCAGATTTGCCTAATGCAATACATAGTTTGATTTCTTGACTGCTGCTTCCATGAGTGTTGATAGTTGATCCAAGAAGAATGAAGTCCTGGACAACTTCAATCTTTTCTCCATTGATAAGAACGTTGTTTATTGATCCAGTAGTGAGGATTTTTGTTTTCTTTACATTGAGATGTAATCCATGCTGAAGGCTGTGCTCTTTAGACACACACACACACACATACACACAGGTACACATATGCATAGACATATATACATACATATAAACACACAGGCACAAATACACTCACATGTGCATAAAACACACAGAGAGACACACATGCACACAGCCAGACATATATACACACATATAGACACACACACATGTGCACAGATACACAGGAACATATATACACACATACACACATGCACAGACTGACATATATACACATAGAAACACATAAGCACAAACATACTCACATGCAGATAGACACACATATACATATAAGCCCAGACACATACCTACACAAACAGTATAGAGACACACAAACACACACATATGCACACATATAGAAACACATATACAAACATAAAGAAATATGCATGCACATATACACACAGACACAACACATCACCACACTCCTTACAACAGCAAGAATCTCACAACTGCAACCCCCAAATGCATCTGTCCCACTCCCTGAACTGTTGGACCCTGGGGCCTTGAAGAGGATCCCTTAGAAGTAGTCAGATCAAGGACAAGCCCCCTTGATCCCTTCTCTCTCAGCCCCCCTGTCCATGCCCTCACCATGTGGCTGAAGCACAAGGTGGACAAGGGGCCGTGACTCACTGAAGGTGCTGAGTGGGGATGGGGTGGGAGGCACCACAAGAGTGGGGTTCTGACAGGTGGTCTCCCCCTAACTACTTCACTAATGGGGAGCCCCGGCCCTCCCAGTGAGGCTCCCATGCACAGGACCAAGAGCCTTAACTCCCCACAGTGCTCACCAGACTCACAGCTCTGAGACAATCCTGTCTTTCAAAAGGTGAGCACTCTGTCATCTCAGGTGGGGGCAGTCTGCTGGGGACTCAAGTGGTCAAGAGTCCAGAGATGGCAGACCCTTTGGCAGGCCCAGTGGGCAAGCCAGAGCGGAGGGGGCCTTACCGGGTTCTCGGTCTGGTTGATGCCGACTCCAAAGACCAGCTGGGAGCAGAAGAGAGCCACAATGAGGTTCCTGTGGATGCAGTGCAGGTTCGAGCGCAGTGTCCGGACCAGTGCCAGTAGGGCAAAGGCCACCAGCAGGGCCGCCAGGGACAAGGACAGGGCCGCGTAGGTGACGATTTTCAAAGGCAGGACCTCGCCATGCTGTGGGGGTCAGTGAGAGGCAGGGTGATGTAACAGGGCACCCCACCAGCTGGTTGCATCTGAGCTGGATCAAGCGGGGCAGGACACATGGGCCCAACACCCCAAATCACCCAGCCACACAAGATGCCAAGCCTGCCTGCCTGCCCCCAGCTGCACACAGGAGACTCCTTCCAGAGGGACCCTCGGCAATGTCAAGGCAAACCCACGGAGCTTCGAGGGTCTGCTGCATCTCCTGAGGTCAAACAAGACGCCGGTGTAGGACCCAGCGTCCCTGAGTTAGGGGTTGAGTTGCACCTATCACTGGTGATGCAATGATCAAAGCACTCAACTGCCAACCAAGAGGTTGGCAGTTCAAACCCTCCAGAATTTGCTCCTGTAAAATGACAGCTTAGGGAACCCTATGGGTCATACAGGGTCGCTATGTATCATAATCGACTCGATGATACCTAACATCAGCCGTGGTGGTCAGGTGTTGGGTTGGTGGTTTGAAGCCACCAGCTAACCCATAGGAGGAAGACGAGGCAGCCTCAGGAGCCTTGGGGAGCAGTTCTGCTCTGTCTTTTACGATTGCTATGAGTAGGAATTAGCAGTGGATTTGGGTTCAGTGGCTGGGATCCGCTGGAAATAGAACGTTCTTTGTTATGAGAAGAGGCTGTATGGGTGCAGGGTGGGTCCTAAACCCATCTAACTGCTGAGGCTCAAGGAGCAACACAGAAGCAGGGACACGCACATGGGAAGAGATGCTAACTAAGGACGGAAGCAGACGCTTCTAGAAGCTCAGGAATGCCAGGGACTGCCCGCAGTCGTTGAAGGACCACCTGCTAGAACCAGCCCTGAAATCGGACTGTGGCCTCCAGAACTGTGAGAAAATAAAGGTCTGTTCTAGAAAGCCACCCCTTTGTGGTGTTTCTGCCGTAGCAGCACTATATCACTGGGACGTCAGGAACTTGGGGAACAAGCTCCAGGTCTCGGGTCACTTCTGTGAAGTCCTGCTCTGGAGATGGAGGACTGGGCAGCTGCTGGGGGCCCTGGGGACCAGCACTGGGGGGGGGGGGGGGGCTGAGTCCCCTGCTGCCCAGAGAGCTGCTTGGTCTGAGCTCTGTGGCTTTGGGGCACGGAAGCTCATGATTCCCACACATTTTCTCTTTTCCTCTCGGAATTTCAGTGGCCTCAGTCTGAAGGTCAGTTCCTGGCCCTGCCCAGCTGCCTAAGCCCTGCCCAGCTGCCTAACCCAAATCCTCCCTTCATGAACTTAAGCAAACCCACTGTGATCAAGTTGATTCCAATTCATAGTACCTCATAGGAGGATAGCATTGTGGTTAAGTGCCAGTGAGTCGGTTCTGACCCAAAGCAACCCTGGACAAGGTTTCTGAGGAGCGGCTGGTGAGCTTGAATAGCTGACTTTATGTTTCAAACTGACTTTGCAGTCCAGTGCATTGACCCACAGGGCCACACCAGAACTCCATAGGACAGAGTAAACTGCTCAGTAGGGTTTCTTGGGCTGGCGTCTTTACAGAAACAGACGGCCACCTCTTTCTTTCTTGAACTTCTGATCTTCCAGTTAGCAGGCAGACACTTACCTACTGCACAATCAGGGCTCCTCAGATACGTGACCACAACCACAACCATTGATCAGTCCTGACTCCTACTGACTCTACAGGTTCCAAAGCTGTAAATCTTTAAGGGACCAGAAAGCCTCATCTTTCTCCAGCAGGGGATTTGAACTGCTGACTTTAAGATTAGCAGTCCAGCACATATCCGCTAGGCCACAGGGTCTCCTTAGTGACCCCATAGGACAGAGTAGAACTGCCCACAGGGTTTCCAACTCCATCAGCTTCATGGATGCAGACAGCCACATCTTTCTCCTGAGAACCTCCTGGTGGGTTTTCCACGATGACCTTTCACCACTGCGCTCTAGGGCTCCTAATAACTAGCCCCTCCATGCCAGGTCTCTCAGTGAGAAGAGCTGACCAATGACCAATGACTGCCTGGGAAGACAACACGTGACCAGGCAGTGTTTCATTCTGTTGCAGCGGGACGTCGGAGCTGATGTCATTAGCAGCAGTAGCAATGTGGGGTCTGCCCACAGGAGCCCCCACTGTACTGTGCATGAGGCAGGACACCACAGTCCCCTTGGTACTGGTCCATATTAACAAGCGTCTCCCTTCCTTTCCAAGTAGCCCTGGTACTGTAGTGGTTACGAGTTAGGCTAACTGCAAGGTCATCAGTTCAAATCCACCAGCCACTCCGCGGGATAAAGATGAGACTTTCTGCTCCCGTAAAGATTTATAGCTTTGGAAATTGTATACAGGGTCGACCACCACCCTCCCTTTCCAAGAACATGAGGGAAACTTGGGCCACTTCAGACCAGGAGGGACAAAGGACTGGGCTTCTGGACCTTGTCCCAGCTTTCAGGAGAGGATAGATCATTCTGGGATTCTAAGTTGTGTCCCCGCTGAGCTCCTAATGGGACTCCTCACTGCACAATCCCTCCCAGGACCTCAGAGTCCGGCTCACGTTCCCAGGCGGTAGATAATGCCGGAGGTTAAACATTAGGTGCCCCCGCAAGCCCCCTTCTCCCTCCAAATAGAGATGAGCAGAAACAGCGTCTTCTAAAAGGCAGAAAACTCGCTTTGAAGTGAGCTCTCCATTGGAAGGATTTCCTTTGAGTCTGAGGTGAGGGCCTTCAAGGGCGATTTCTAATTTACAACCTGGACTGTTTGAAAGCCCTTTCAGTGGGGTTTTGTGATGGAAATTCTGGCAAACTGGCTACAGCTCCCTTGAATGCAGGGTTTTAATCAGCCCACTGGGGTGTTCAGAGCTCTTGGAGGAAAAGACTTTGGGGTTAGGATGCACGTTGTAAAGGGAGGATCCTGGCTGGCTGCGGAGCCCACCTCTCGCCGGGAGATATCCATGAGCACCGCGGAGCTGGTCAGGTGGTTGCACTGACACACCACGTGCGTCCGGTTCCGCCACAGGAGTTCGCAGCCCTTGGCTGACCAGCCTCCAGTACTGCCAATGCTGTGGAGAAAGGAAGGGTGTTGGTGAGCTGGCCCCTTCACAGAAGGCCAGGGGGCCAGTGTCCTGTTAGCTGGCCTCGGTAGGAGGAACCAGAGCAAATAACCAAACTCACAAGCATTGAGTGGATTTGGACTGATGGTGACCCTGTAGGACACAACAGAATTGCTTCTTTGGGTTCTGAGACTACATTTTGATAGGACCACACAACCTCATCTTTCTCCCAGGAGCAGCTGGTGAGTTTGAACCACCAACCTTGCAGTTAACAGCCCATCATTTAGCCCACTCTAGGAACTGGGCAGATGCAAAGGGCAGTGACTTGCTTTCATAGACAGTTCGATGATGCTGTGGAAAAGTCTGAGAGCCACAGGTTAGTGGTTCAAGTCCACGAGCTGCTCTGAGGGAGATAGTGGAGACTTACTGCTCCCAGTTATATTTATAGCCTCGGAAAGCTTATGCAGGTGGCCTGGAGTCTGAACTGACTGGAAGTCACTTACCAACGCACAGTGCCTTGGACATCAGCAGGCCCTGAAGACAAACACCTTGGTCATCTCCGTCCAGGAGTTCCTGCCGCCATCAAGACTGAGCAAACGCTCTCCCTCTCCTCCTCTCCCCCAGCCTTCGGAGGGCTTCTAATTACTCTCTCAGCAGTAAACCCAACATGGAAGCGTCTTAGGCCAGCTCCGAATCCCTTGTGTAAGAAACACTCGCCATTGTTAAAACAGACACTTTGTACTCAAACCTCCTTCTGAGTTGAAATGATTTCAGAAACAATTTTTCATGTGCGTGATGCACTTTCATCTGCGGGTTGCACAATTTTTTATGGGGCCAGCCACGCAGTCTGGCTCTGTGATTACCCCATTTGACTGATGGGAGGCCTCAAACAAAAAGTTGTGATGAGGTGTGTCTTGGTCTCAGGTGCGGCCCTGTCCCCTCTCCCCGACTCTGGGAAAATTGCAGAAACCCTCTGATCCTCAGTTTACTCATCTGTGAAATGGGATGTAGAGAGTCAATACACGTTGGCCAAAAGCTTTAAGATCTGCAAATAACAGGCGCCACATAAGGCAGAAAGAGTTTAATTAGAGCCAGAGTTAATTGCTGGGAGCAACCAAACATAAGGAAGAGAGAGGCGGCCGTTTGCCTTCCCTTTGTTGTCATGTGGCTGCTCCTTTCTCGTCTTTTATTACACACACACTCACACACACACACTCACACCCACATACTCTCACACACACACACATGCATACTCTCATTCATACACCCACACACGCACACACACTCGTACACACACACTCACACACAAACACACTCTCATACACCCACATGTGCACACACACTCACACACCCCCACATACTCATTCATACACCCACACGCGCACACACACACTCCCACTCCCACACACGCACTCACTCCCACACACACTCCCACAGTGGTGTTGGCTTTTCACTAAGGAGACTTTGGAAAGCATACCAGCAGGAAGGAGATGACGTTGGGCCCACACCACACCGCGTGGGCAGGCCATCTGCTGGCTTACACCAGTGCCCACCCAGTGCTGTCCTCTCTGGCTGGGTGTCTCTGAACCCTAGTGGATTTACGGCTTTAAGGGATGTAACACTGAACAGGAATCCCAGATGCACAACGATGAGGTATGGAGGGCAGGGGCAGCCGGGGGGCACTGTCTGAATTCTTGGGACTGGCACGCCCTTCCTGTGCCCTCTACTGGCGGTCTTTCTTGGTTGAGAAGCCCCCCTCCTAACCCTCTCAGCTTCCTTCAAAGCAGTGAGGCGAGGCGAGGCGAGGTCAGGACTCCACTGTTTTCTGCTAAAACTAAGATGGCAAATGAGCGGAGGAGAGGCATGCCAGCACACCCAAGTCCATGGCTGCTAAAGAGAACTCCAGGGTGTCGCTGAGTCAGGAAAGACTGAAGTCTCACGATGGGTTTTCTGTCTCATTCACTCCTGGTTCTGGTGAGTGGTGGTGCTGTGCTGTGGAGTCGGTTCCGACTCATAGCGACCCTGCATAGGGTTTCTGAGGCTGTGAATCTTTATAGGAGTAGAAAGCCTCATCCTTCTCCCACGGAATGGCTGGTAGTTTCGAACTGCTGACCTTGAGGTTAGCAGCCCAACTCATAACCACTACACTAACAGAGCTCCTTTTTCGGTTGAGTAGGGAATGCCTTTTTCCAGAACATTCTGGATAAAGGGACATCACATGGCTGGAGTATGCTTCTGACCATCCCTGGAGAGGAGAATACATCAAGGAGTGTGTGGTCTTCTGGGGGTGGGGCAGATAGAGCCCCAGCAGCTGTGCTGTGGCTAGCTGAGCTCAGGGGTGCTGTGCGACATGGGGGTCCACGTGTCTGATTGTTAGGGTGCTCCTGGGTCAGTGTCTCAGTCTGGCCACCTACATGTATCTCGGACAAAAGCCTCTGCTGGGTGTGGTGCTAGACAGTCTGCACCCACCACTGGCTGGGTAGGTAAACAGCTTCTTTCTGATGTGCACACACGTGTGCATACATGTCTATGTGCACACTTGACTACACTCTCTGTACAAATGCATGTTGTCCACGTGTGCACATGCCTGCTGCACAGGTGCATACACATCCCCATGCATGCATGTACACACCTCAGCATACATACATGTTGCACTTATGAGCACACACATATCTAAGGTAGAAACATGCCCGCTGTGTGCTCGTATGTCTTGGTATACATGCTTGATACACATGTGCACACACACATGCAGGACTCTGTACACATGTGCGTGCATGTATCAAGTGTACACCCCTCTGCATATATACATGTTGCACACACACATGCACATGTATCTGGGCATGTTTGTGTGCACGGCTCAGTTTACATGACAGCTGCACATGTATGTATACATCTCTGTGTATGTACGCACATGTCTGTGTGTGTGCGTGTTGTACATAGCTACATGTATGTATGAGCACAGGTATTTGTGCATATGTCCATGCATGTCTCAGGGTCTACACATCCCTGTTGCACACCATGTCTCTGTGTGTGGTTGGAAGATGAGCCTCCTGTCCCACAGAGGTGGGGTTGGAAGGGGCACACAGGCCACAAGAGAAGGTCCCTGGGACACTCAGGCAGCCCCCACTGACAATCCGTGCCCCCACACCACACTCACGGGATGGAGTGGTTCCAGAACACGCAGGTGGGCTTTGTGCGCTCCTCAGTCTCCAGTAGGGCCAACTCCACCAGGACGGGCCTCTCCAGGGGACTCGGGAGCATGGAGCCCTCACTGTACACTGCTGCGCTCACCACTGCCGTGTTGATGACTGGCCGGCTGGGCAGCCTGCAATGGGGCGAGGGTGAGGAGAGGGCTGAGAAAACATTGGTTCTAAACCTCAGTGTGTATGAGGAGAAAGGGCAGCACCTTTTTGTGAGTGCAGGGCTGAGATCCCGCTCTGCAGCGTGCTGGGAGGGCCAGAGTGGGCTTCAGACTTTTCGGGATAAATATGAAGTCTATCCACAAATGTGCTGGACTGCAAAGTCAGTGTGAACCGCAAGGTCACGGTTCAAGCTCACCAGCCGCTCCTTGGAAACCCTATATAGGGTCACTTTGGGTCAGAACCGACTTGATGGCACTTCTGAACAACAAATATCCACAAAGATGTCCCAAACCACACCCACTGCCTTCGGGTCGGTTCGGACTCACAGTGACTCTCTAGGACAGAGCAGGGCTACTCCTTGGGGTTTCCCAAGCTGTAAATCTTTACAGGGGCAGACGGCCTCGTCTTTCTTCCTCAGAGCGGCTGGTGGGTTTGAACTGCCAGCATTGAGGTGAGCAGCAGGGTGCTTAACCCACAGTGCCACGAGGGATCCTCACAAAGCTGTGGCCGCTCCCTAATATACAACAGCTACACCGTGAAAGGAGTCTGTTCGTGGAAATCGTGACTTGTTGAGGATTGAAATCTGTGACCCCCAAAAAGCTGTACCCAAGTCCTGACTCCTGAAGCCTCTCGATGTGACCTTGTTTGGAAATAGGGTCCCGGAGGCCGTGCTGGATTAAGGTAATGCAAGGTCACACCGGGGTAGGGAGGGTCCCAATTCCATTGAGGGGTGTCCTTACAAAAGGGGAGAAGAGACAGATAGGAGGGATCTGTGATGATGGAGTTAGCTGCAGCCACAAGCCAATGACTGCCTGGGGCCCGAAGAAGCCGGAAGAAACTGGAAAGAGTCTTCCCCAGAGCCCTGAATGTGGACTCTCCGGCCCTGCAGCTCTGCTGTTTTAAGCCACTTCATTCGTATGCATTGTACGGCAGTCCCAGGGGTCTGATACACAGTTTGTGGGGGTGTATCGCCCAGTCACTAAGGACGGTGGACGTGAAGCCTCCAGAGCCCAGGGAAAGTTCTGGAGAATGGCACCCAAGGAAGCCCGCACGGCGCTCAGGGCGCGATGCTCCTATGGGCAGATGTGTGGTCTCAACCCATCTCCAGGGGACGTCCCTCAGAGGGCTGGGCTGCAAGGTGCACAGTGTGGGTATGGATGGGGAGGGGTGGACCCTCAGCCTGATTTACACGGGGCGCTCAGGGCCTTCCAGGCAGAGACAGTGGGGTCCGAGGCGGAGGGCTAGGAGGGGGACCAGGGCAGAGAAGGCAGCAGCTGAGCAGAGCCAGGGGTCTGGGGTAACCTGCTTTGGTGGCTGTTAACCTGGACCACTGGGAGCCTTACCGAAGGCTGCGGCGGTCAGGGTCATAGTGCTCGGGCAGCAGCTGTCCCAGGGTCCGGTAGATGATGACCAGGGCGACAGCAAACTGGCCGGGCTCGTCTGGGTGTCTCCTGTACCGCCTGGCTGCAGCCTCCCGCTCAGTACTGGGCCCAGAGCGTGCCGACTGCGGGGTGGTCTTCCGGCTGGGTGGCCTGGCTGTGGGGGCTTCTGCAATATAGGCACACACAGTGAGGCTGGGGCACCCTACTGGGTCCTGCCGGGCCACAGCAGTCAGCGGTTTCATGGAGTGACAAGTGTAACCCACTTTGAAAGATTTAATTGAAGGCCTGAGAAAGAAGATTCTGATCAAATGACCCATGCCACAGAGAGAGATGGGAGCTGGCATGAGGCCTCGGAGGCTCGGGTCTCCTGCTGGTCATCTGTTCTAAGGTGCCAACCCAAACCCCAAATCCCAGACCCACTGCTGGAGCAGTCACATGCTTACTTGTCTCATTATACATTGACTTAGAAAGCCCGGCCGCTCTGCTCCGAGCAGCTGGTGGGGACAGTGTGGCTGGTTCTCTAGGACCCCTGCCTGTCCAGCACCGTACGCCCCCTCCACCACCCCAGAGGCATTCTCCAGGGCAGAAGGCGAGTCTTGGCGGTTTACCTTTCTTCTTCTCAGACTGTTTGAAGAAGTCTGCGGGGAAGAAGACGGAGGATGCCAGCTCCTTTGGGTACTCTTCATGAATATCCTCGAATCGCGGCACCCGGGCTCCGGTGAAGTTAGACTTGTTAAAGATGTCAACAGCAAGGACTGTGGAGATAGTTCGCTTCCATCACATACAAACCCCAACTCGGCTCCCTCATGGGAGGGAGCACTCTGGAACCATCAGCACCGCTTGTCAGTTATTAGCCAACAACTGTTCACAAGGCTCCAGTTTTTGCTTCTGTGTTCTTTATGGCGGCTCAGAATTACAAGGGCACACGCCCAGTGTCACGTGAGGAAACAGCAGCAAATGGTGTTGCTTTAATGTGCTTTCCAGGAGCCACTGGGCTGAGGGCTGGAGGCCAGTGTTACACATGAGCACAGCGTTTTATGTGCGCACAGTTACTTACATATGTGTATGGTGCCACATGTGTGCATGGTATCACACATGTGCAGCCTGACAGGTTCTGGGTCACATGTGTAAATGCACCACACACAGAGACAGACATGCACACGACACATATGTAAACGGCATTACATGTGTGTAGTTCCACACACGTGCACAGTTTTATATATGTACATGGGCCTTTGTGTGTAAATGGCAGTACATGCGTGCATGGTGTTGTATATGCCCATGGCATTACATGTGTGCATACTGTTACAATATGCAGAGCTGCATGTGTGCACAGTCACGCATTAAAGGCACCATACATGTGCATGCTGTTACACACACACAGGGTCACATGTATAAACATTACACACACATCAATGTCACCACACATGTGCATGGTACTACACAATACAGTGCCACATACATGCATGGTGCCACACGTGTCTGTGGCACTACATGTGTGCATGCTGTTACATGATGTCTCACATGTGTGCACTCTTCACATGCATCAATGGCACCCATGTGTGCATGGTACTACACACATGCAATGCCACATATGTGCATGATGTTACATGTGTCAACGGCATTGCATGTGTGCATGGCATTATGTAATGCAGTGTCACATGTGTGGGTGAAGTCACATGTAGGTTACATACATATATGTTGTCACGTGTGCTCAGTGATACATAGAAGCCTGGTGCTGTACACACGTGTGGTGTTACTGTGAGCATGGTACACACCCTCAGGCATTTGGTAGAGGAGTGTCACACACCCCAGTAGCTGGACATGGGCAGCTGCTATCCCTTCAGGTGATGGGCACAGGAGGTGATGAGACCACTACAGGTCACCCTGTGAGACTGGCCAGTGGTCAGGGTCCGTCCCAGTCCCTTAGGAGGACTAAGGTAGATAGAAGCTGACCGGGCAGCTCCTGATTTGTCTGGGTACACATCTGTAGCAGCAAGACCGGAGACTCGTGTCCTCTGGGAAGATGCTCAAGTCACTGGCTGAGCTGCCGGCTGGTTATGAAGGGTGCCCTCACCAGCCACAGGAGGAGGGTGGGCACCCTCACGGAGACACTGGGTGGTACAGGAGGAAGAACTGAGGGAAGACCAGTATGGGCATGGTGCCCTGGGACTCGGCACACAGGGGCCCAAAGGAGAACACGGTGGTGGTGGTTCTCAGCTGAGGTGGGGGGTGGGGGCTCCCACGACCAGGGCACCAGGAGAACCTAGCAGAGAGGAGCCCCTCACTGGGGGAGAGGCATACAGGAAGCATGCATGGGATCCTGCCCAGGGGCTTCAGGGGCTGAACCAGGTACAGGTAAGGCCAAAGGCAGGTGGGGTCAGGTGTAGGTGTGACCAGATGCAGGTGGGGACAGGTGTAGGTGTGACAAGGTGTAGGTGTGACCAGATGCAGGTGGGGACAAGTGTAGGTGTGACCAGGTGTAGGTGTGACCAGGTATAGGTGGGGCCAGGTGCAGGTGTGACCAGGTGCAGGTGGGGCCAGATGTAGGTGTGACCAGGTGCAGGTGTGGCCAGGTGCTCCCAGGTCATGTACAGCCTTGAATTCATAGGCAGCTTGACCAGACCCTCTTCTGGGACAGGAAGTAGGAGTACTGGGGGTTGTCCTTCCCCTCGGCTTCCAGTAGTGATAGGGAGCCACGAGCCCACCCACCCAGGACAGGGTCAGACCCTGTGTGGCCAGAGCAGCCTGGTCACCTTCTGGGTAGGATGTCAGTCTCTCCCAAGTCAGCTATCATCTGGGGGTGTGAATGTTAGGAACCAGGCCCTTCCCCCATGATGAACATTTGGGGGAACCTGAGACAGTCAATGGGCCAAGTCCCTCTGAAGCAGCCATCCCTCATGCTGACCCACCCCTGGCCTTCACCGGCTCTGTGGGCTGTGGGGAGCCACACGGTGTGAAGAAACCATTCCTTCCTGCCTCGAACAATGCATCCTGAACACTTGTGTCTGCTCTGTAGGATATACCACTTCTCACCCAGGGTCCCCGTGAGGGGGTGACACTGACCCCCGCCCCTGTGAGGGTGTGCCCCTGGAGGGTCCCTGTGAGGGGGTGACACTGCCCCACACCCAGTATGGGTGTGTCCCTGGAGGGAGCCAGGTTGCGCCTACATCCTGACATCCAAGGCCACCTGAAGGAACCTGAGTGTGTGGGAGCCCCCAGGATGGTGCCGTGGCCGAGGTGTAAGCGCCTCTGCCCAGGCCACACCAACCACTAGGCTGGGGGCTGAGGTGTGCTATCACCTTCCCCTCTGGGGGGGCCGCGTTCTTTCTACTTCACAGCCGGAGGCACAAAGCGATGGAGTCACTTTTCCAAGGGCGCCCCACTCCACACACACCCACCCGGGCCTCTACCTAGACCGATGGCACCCTGAGCCCTCCACCCCGGCCTGCCCACCCGCCCTTACTCATGTTGGGGGTGACAATGATGAAGGGCCGCAGGTAGGTGCTCCGGACGTTGCGGGCCACGGTGCTGAAATAGGCCTCGAAGCGCCTCAATAGCTGTGCAGAGCCGTCCTCGCTCCTCTGGATTTGTTCCCAGGCGGGCCTGGTGGCCGGGGTCAGGAGGGCACTGCCTGTGTTCACCACGTCCTGTCAGGCAGACAGACAGTCAAATGGACGATGTTCAGACCCAGTGGAAACAGAGCAGCTTCTAGACACACACACACACACACACATCACCAGGACGACCAAGCAGGGAGAGCCTATTGGTTCTCGTTTTTTTTTTTTTTTAAAGCAGGCCTGCCTCGTTTTATGGAACATCACTTCACAGACTGTTTCCTTACACGTGGGAGATCTGTGGCCACCCCACATCGAGCAAGCCCATGGACACCACCTCTGCTCACCTCGTGACTGTGCCCCATTCTGCTCATTCTCACGGTAGTTATTTTTCATCATGCTAGGACTCCTGGTGTGGGCTGTAGGGTGAGCACTGGATGGCTAACCACATGGTTGGCGGTTCAAATCCACCAGGGTCGCTATGAATTGACTCGGTGGCACTTAATAACAGCAAGTGCATACATGATAGATTATATTCTCGTGTTAGCATCACTTTTGTGTGTAGCGCCATGCCAGGACACCTTACATGCCCTGGGAAACCAGAAGTTGCACGTGACTTGCTTTACTGCGCTCTTTGCTTTATGGGGCTGGTCTGGAACAGAACCCACGATAGCTCCGAGGCGGGTCTATGGAGAGGGGAGCTTTTCCTGTTGAAACCCCAAGATCATCATCTAGCTGGGGGGAGTAGAAGCCCCACACCTGTTAGGCTGAGGTTGTGGCTTTCTGACCTCCCAGGCACCTCACAGTTTACGGGAACATTGGGGACTGGGAGCCCTGGGAAGATACAGGGTCCCTGGGCCGTGTCTGGTACAGAAACATACCCGGGGTCTTTTGTTTGAACAAATCCATCAACGCAGACCCTCAGGCCTGGGCTTCGATGGAGAACAAGGGTCCTGCTCAGGTGTGAGGGGTCTCCATGGACATGGGGGAATTGTGAAGCGGGGTGGACCAGGAAGTACGAGGGAAACACACTGGAGCTGTTTGGTCAGAAAGAACACCTGCTCACTGGTCATTCTCACGCCAGGCAGCTAAGAAAGTGTGGGCATTTGCAGCTGGCCCTCCCCCTTGGAGTACATAGGGGAGGGGACTCTGGGTGGCACCTCTATAAGTTGTGTCACTTCAGGAAAACCCTCTCTGGGCCTCACTTTCCTTGTCTGCAAAATGGGATGACATCAGGACTGAGCCATAGGAAGTGTGAGGACCACGTGGGTGGACTGATGTAAACCGCCGAGGCTGCCTGCCAGGCCACTCAAAATGGAAACGAGCTGGGGGCCAAAGGTGGGGGGGTCCACACTCTAAGGAGATCTTGGGTTGGGACCGAGTCCTGAGAAGCCCCTCTTGTCGGCTGTTGTCAGCTGCTTTGTGTGTTTGTGTTGCTGTCAAACTACTGTAGCCAACAACCTTGAAACAGGAACGGCATCCTAAAAAACTGTGAAAACGCCATGAAAAGAAATCTCCATCCTGTCTCTCTTGAAATGACCTGAGGATGATGCAGGTGGCCAGAGCTGAGGGGTGTTTCCTGTAGCGGGGTTCACACTGGCGGGGGAATCTTCATGTTTACAAGATACTCTTAGGGAGGAAGACAGCGAGAGGGGCCTACTCCTTCATCTGTCCCCCGACATCTTTCACCCTTCGCTCCAGGTCTGCTCCCCAATACAGGGGCTCCACAGACACAGGTCCATAGTCCACATGTTCGGTCCTGAGAGGCGCTCTGTCTGCTGGGGCCATGTCCTCACCTCCCTCAAGGTCAGGGTGACGTAAGAGAGCTCCAGCCCCCCAGATCCCTGAATGTCACTCCACACTGCCATGAAGGACAGGGGTTCCTGAGTGTTACCCCTTGTCACTCCCAGCGTCACTCTGCCCGATCTGAAGGTCGAGATAATTTGTACATTATCTCACATCCCCCTTAGGTTCTGAAGACTCCCTGAATGCTAAAGCACACAGCTCCGAGGGCCTGGGGAAATCCCCCATACAGCCCGAGGACTCCTTGAATGTTACCCCACACATCCTCGAGGGCCGGGGGACAACCTGAGTGTCACCTTACACCACCCTGAGGGCTAGGGGCTTCCTGAGCATCACCCCACACAGCCCTGAGAGCTCCCTGAGCATCACCCCCACACAGCCCTGGGGGCTCCCTGAGCATCACCCCCACACAGCCCCAAGGGTCCGAGGACTCCCTGAGAATCTCTCCACACAGCCCTAGGGGCTTCCTGAGCATCACCCCACACAGATCTGAGGGCCTGGGGCTCCCCAAGCATCACTTCACACCATCCCATGGGTTCGGGGCTCCCTGAGCATCAGCCCACATGGCCGTGAGGGCCCGGGAGTTCCCCAGCATCATCCCACACAGCCCTGAAGTTCTGAGGACTTCCTGAGCCTCACTTCCTGGGTCCTGCCCCCAACAGGGACACCTCCCCTGTGAATGAGCATGGGTGTATCGCCAGGCTCCCTCTGAAGGAGAACACCTGTGGGTTCCTGCTAAGACTTCGTTGCAAATAAGCAACTCTCGATCTCACCTCGTGGAAGCTTGCATCCCGCGTGGCCGCCAGGTTGAAGCCTTGCTGCTGGCTCTCATGACCAAGGACACGGGCCAGCAGCTGGTAGGCGGTGCGCACATCGTTGCCAAACATGGTGCCAGCGTTCCGCGTGGCATTGTGCAGTGCCTTGGCCATCCGCACGGAGGTGTCCCCATCCAGCCGTGTCTCATTGCGGCTCAGCTTCTCGTTCTGGAAGGGGAGGGGGCAAACAGGAGGTGTTCAGAGTGCTGCGGCTGCTACATTCTGGTCGAGGCTTATCTGTCAGCAAGGAACTTTAAAATAATGTCCAAATTCCAAAATGAACTTCCATGGATGATTTTAAAAGGTAGGGCCCGCTAGGCACCTGGGTGGCATAATGGTTTGTGATTGGCTGTTACAGAAAGGCTGGTGGTTTCAACCCACCCAGTGTTGGTGCTGCGGAAAAAAGTCCTGGTGATCTGCGTTTGTAGAGATGACAGCCAAGAAAACCCTACGGAGCAGTTCTGGGTAACAGAGAGGCACGGTGAGTCAGAGTCGACTGAACAGCAAGGGGGGTGGGTTTTTTGTTGGAAAAAAAGATTCCAAATGGAAGGAAAGCAAGAGGACAGGGAGATGTAAAAATGGCGGAATCGGACGACAGACTCTCACGCTGGGACTCTGAGTTTGCAAACCAAAGACATCAGAGTTGGTTCTGGGGTTCCCAGAATAACTGGTGCACCCCGGCCTGCCCTCTGCCCAGCACAGAGGCACCCACGTGACCCTGCCTGCCTCTGCCCCACCCCTCACGCCAAGCAGGGTCTACTCACCGCGATTTTGAGGTCCAGGAAGGCGGAGGAGGTACAGTTGAAGAGTTCGGGGGGCAGCCAGCCCTTCTCCCCACTGCAGTGCCGCACCGCATTTCCTGGAGAACCAAAGTCAATGAGGAGAACCCCACACCATTCAGAGGGGAAGACCCTGCTGCATCTGCGCTAACACCCGTCTGCGTTTACTGAGGCCCAACAGGAGTCCTGCCGGTGCTGTGGGTTAGGCACTGGACTGCTAACTATAAGGTGGGTGGTTCAAACCCTCCCGTCATTCCACGGGAGAAAGATGAGGCGGTCTGGTCCCCTAAAGACCCACAACCTCGGAAACCCTGTGGGCCAGTTCTACGAGTTGGAATTAACTCAACAACGGTAGTAAGTTTGATTTTTGTTTTGTTTTCTGTGCCCTGGGCCGAGGGGCCAACCCATGGCAGCCACCTTGCTCGACTCTGCTGAGGGTGTCTGTTTATGGTCAGTACACGGGAGTAAACATGGCTTCCAGCTAAGGGAAAAGCAGCCAGCTAAACAATGCGCAGCATGTAATAACCATGTGCTTTGCCCCTGTACCATGGACCCCACGCATCTTCTCATCATCCCTCCTGCCTGTTGTTAAAAGCAGTCACTGTCTCAGCCCACAGAGACGCCAGGCAGGACTGTGACCACACAGCTCCTTGTCCCCCACTGCAGGTGGCAGGCAGCCCAGGATGCAGGTACGGGCTGGACTCTGGGGCCCAGCACTCATTTTCCCATCAGGCCTTGTGCAGTCTGTCATCTACTGTGAGAGAGGGGCCCTGGTGGCGCAGTGGTTCAGCACTCGGTTCCACTGAGCTCATCCAGCAGCTCTGCGGAAAAAAGGCCTGGTGAGCTGCTCTCGTAAGGACAGCAGCTCAGGAACCCCTGCCACACGGGTCACTGTGAGTCAGAGTGGACGCCAAGCTCCCCAACAACATTGAGGAAGGGGGTGTTTCACCTCCCTGACATGTGGGCCAATGTGTTTCTCAAGCAGCCTCTCAACACCAACACTTTCTGAGAGCTGATGCCCAGCCGGCTCTTCTGCCGAGGGGGCAGCAGGGTCTTCACCCAGTGAAAGCTCCAGCCCTAGTACTCACCCAAGGAGCCCTTGGGACATGGCACTGCAGCCGGCTGCCCGAACTTGGTCTGTGGCCACCAGATGCCAGCCTCGAATGCCCGGGGACAGCCGCTGTAGGTCACTGTGAAGAGTAGAGATGGCTGATCAATCTTGCCCGGCCACACCCAGAATGTTGCCTGCCTGCCATACTTCCCCTGGGGGGAGGCCCTGTGCTCCCCACACTCCTGTGGACTGGACCGCACGCCATCTCTCCTTTAGCACACAACCAGAGAGCGGGACTCAGGCTCTCCCCATGCCTCTTACAGGGCCAGCTTCTGAATTCCAAGGGAGCAGTCAGAACAGCTGGTCACCAGGTGTCCCCTGAGTGTATGCAAGGGATATGGAGACACATGCATGGACACACACACCCAGACATATGCACACATGCACACACATGTGTATACACAGAAACATCCAGACACACACACACTCACACAATGCAGCACACATACACATGTGTGTGCACACACGCTCAGACATATACACACGGACACGAACACATTCACACACATGAACACATGTGTGTACACAGAAACACCCAGAAACATACACACTCACACATACTAACACATGTGTATGCACACACAAACCCATATATACACACACACACAGACACACACAGAGGCATGCATACATGCAGCACATGTACATACAAATGTGCACAGACAAACCCAGATATACACACACAGACACACATGCAGCATATGTACAGATTGTGCAGACACACTCAGACATATAAATACACTGAGTGTGTGTATCCAGGTGTGTGTGCACATAGACATACAGAGACATGCACACACATACCCAGACACACACTCAGACACAGAATACAGCACATGTACATATATGTGCGTGCACAAGACACAACCAGACACACAACACACACAGCATGAGTACATGCATACACACATGTGCACATAGATGCACCTGTGTGTAGACATGAAGACACACCCAGACACAGAACACACACAGCAAGGTACATGCACACACGTGTGTACATAGACACGTGTGTAGACATGAAGACACACAGCACAGGTACATGCACACATGTGTGCACACACACTCCAAGGTATATACATACTCAGACACTCAGACCCATGGACACACATAGACACGCAGACACAAACACAAGCACACAGACAAGTAGGCACATGTGGACACAGGTCCATGCACACACAGACACCCTCATGCATCCCCCCCCGAGACACACACACACACACACATAAACTCACAGACTTGCACACCTAAGGCACACACAGACACACAGACAGACATATGGAGCCATGCACACACATGCAAACGCACACAGACACATAGATACACACAGACACATGTGTGCATGCCATCCCAGTGGCCCACCCCCCTGGGTGCCCTCACACGCACCCTCACAGCCCTGCATGGTGACCTCAGCGAAGGGGTTGTCACAGCGGTTGCACTGACGCCCAATGACGCCCGGCTTGCAGGCACACTGCCCGGTGTCCGAGTCGCAGGTGCGGCTGTGGGCGCCGTGCGGAAAGCAGTCGCAGGGCAGGCAGGCGTCCTGGTCGGGGGGCTTGTAGTGGTTTTCCTGTGAAGGGAGGAACTGTGAGCACCCACTTCAGGAAGGGTGTCTCCCAGCAACCTCAGCACTCTTCCAGCATGACTCCAGGGCCGCTGTCCCTGCTCCGTCCACACTCCCCGAGTCCAGCCTAGGACAGGTGTCCTCTCTCATTCTGCAGCAGATGCTTACTTTGGGCCACCTTCCTATTCGTCCCCAATCGGAGACTTACAGATAAGCAGGGCTCAGTGGATTTTTCCTTTCGAAAGTGGGAGCAGGTCAGGTGATGGTTTTGAGCACGTGATCTGGCTGACACCTTGCTCGGCCATTTACCGGCCACCCTGTCCTTGCAGAACCCTGGTGTGGCACCGTAGGATAAGTGCTGGACTGGTAACTGCAGGCCAGCGGTTCAAACCCATCAGATGCTCTGGGAAACGCTATACAGGGCCACTACGAGGCAGACCTGACTCCACGGCACACAACAGTAACAACTGCCCTGGGAAGGCCCCCTTCCAGAAAACGGGGTGGGCTGTGGTTTGGGTAGACTCCCAAGCCACAGTCCAGCAGGAACACACACCTTACCTACAGCATGATGCCACCTGCATGTGACGTGGTGACGTATGGGAGATGGGAAGGAGTCTAAAATGTTAGCAATTATCCCAGGCAGTCAGATTGGTGAATTTTACTTCCTGCACTTTTTACCACTTCTGATGGGAAAAAATGATGGGACCGATTTGCCTGCCACCTGTTGACATGACCCACCAGAGCCTGGCCTGCTTCTGCTCTTTCTATGTTTGATTTACTCCTATCAGGAGACAAACCACATCTCGTTTTGGTACCCTCTGTGCAGCAACTGGGATGTTTCTGATTTAAACAGCTACCCGGAAGTATCCAAGGGTACTTCAAGAACCAGCGCCTCTCCCGGGCCAGTCCCACATCTGCAAGGCAGAAGTGTCCCTGGCTTAGTTACCACAAGGTCACCGTGGGGTTTCAAGTTACCACCGTTCAACAGCAGAAGTGAACAGTGGGTGACCCTGCATGAGGTCGAGCGGTGGCAAGCAATTTGGAAGACAGCATGCAACATGTGTCTTCATGCTACACAGCTGTGTATAACCGGACCCTTGGTGGTAGGAGTAAGGGATGCCTTTTCTGTTTTATATTCTGGTCATCGTTGGTGCAGGAAGATAAAGGACCAGGAAGTGTCCAGCAGGGAGATCTGTGGCTGGGGCCAACGATGAGTCAACCTCCACAGAATGAACCAGGTCTCCTGTTACAGACCAGGTGCTAGGTGGGTGGGAACTCAGGATTCCGTATCCCAGGGCCTTAACAGTCTCAACAGCCCAATGTGTGTAGGCATCGGAGTGGGCACCAGGGGGCAGCAGAGAGCCTATGATGTGGCTGAACGTGTGTGTGTGTGTGTGTGTGTGTGTGTACTTATGTGTACATGTGCACAGATGGATACATGTGCATGCATTTGTATAAGAAGACCTGTATAGTGTGTGTACACACTGAACCGATTTATCTGGGCTCAGGGTGTGCATCTATGAGTGTGTGTATATGTGTACAAGTGGGTATGTGTGTGCGCATGTGTACAAGCAGACTTATGTGTTGTGCGCATGCAGAAATGTGTACAGGTAGATTAGTGGTGTGTGTGCATGTGTACACATTGATGTATGCATATGTACATGTACACGAAGATGTGTGTTTGAGTATATGTGCATGTGCGGGTAGGTGTGTGGTACACATAGGTGTGAGTGTGTGTTGTATAGGTAGGTGTGTATGTGTACATACGCACAGGTAAATATGTCTGTGTACACACGTGTACAGGTAGTGGTGTGTTTGTGTGTGCAGACAGGTAGTTGTATATACACATGGGTACAGGTAGTGTGTGGACTCCAGTGTGGTGCTGTAGGATGAGAAGTGGACTAACCACAAGGCTGGCAGTTCAAACCCACCAGCTGCCCCTTGGAAACCCTATACTTGGTTGCTATGAGTTGGAACTGACTCAACAGCACTTAACAAGAACAAATAGTGTGTGCATGTGTGTACAGGTAGGTGTGTATGTGTCCAGGCAGGTGTGTGCTTCAGTGTGCATGTGTGTACAGGTAGGTGTGTATGTGTCCAGGCAGGTGTGTGCTTCAGTGTGCATGTGTGTACAGGTAGGTGTGTATGTGTCCAGGCAGGTGTGTGCTTCAGTGTGCATGTGTGTACAGGTAGATATGTGTGCATGGATGTGCACAGGTAGATGTGTGAATGTGTGTGTACAGGTAGGTACAGATGTGTGCATGTGTGAATAGGTAGGTATGGGCTTCAGTGTATATAGGTAGATGTGTATGTGTACACATGTGTACAGGTAAGGATGTGCTTGTGTGTACAGGTAGGCAGTTGTGCATACACATGAATACAGGTAGTGTATGCTTGTGTGTGTATGGGTAGGTGTGTATAAATATGTGCATGTGTGTATACAGGTAGGTGTGTGAGTGTGTGTGCAGGCAGGTATGTGTAAGTGTGTGCATGTGTACACAGGTAGGTGTCTGTGCAAGTTTGCAGGTAGCTGTGTGTGTGTGCACGTATACAGGTAGTGCATGCACGTGTACAAGCAGGATGTGTGGCTGTGTACGTACGTGCCCATGTGTGGGCTCACTCAGAGACATCAGGTGTGGGCCCCACCTGCCCACCTGCCCTCCTGCCCGAGGTCTCACCTTACACTGGCACTGCCCGCTGGTCTTGTTGCAGTCTGGGTCAAAGCCTTTGCTGACAGCGCAGTGGCAGGGGCCACACACAGGGCTCCCCCACCAGCCTTTGGGGCACGGGAGGTTGATTCTGTTGGGGAGACGAAGCAGATGTTGATAGTGTTGGGGAGACGAAGCAGATGTTGATAGGTGTGCACCATGGTTTCCAAAACAGAAGGGAACCTAGTGATTCCTGGGCAGCATGCCAGCATCCACTGGGACCCTCGACTGGACCGGATAAGGGCACCTCCCACTGACTGTCCCACTCTGCCTCGGGGCCCCTGAGAAGTAAGAGGCCCCACCTGGGATCGTGGTTTACCTGTGAGAACACAGACCTGTGTTCTGTGGGCAGTGCCGTCAAAGGGCACACAGGAGCCCACGTGTCCTAGACCACCCTGTCACTGCCCTGTCAGAGCTCTCGTCCATCCCTGTAAGTGACCTTCATCTTCCCACTGCCCACCTGCCCGTGCCGTATGCTGCTGAGGTGGAACCTGACCAGTGGGCTGGTCAGTTTGATTCTCACTGATCTCATGCCCCATTTGAAAGAAATCAAACATGTCGTTTGTTGGGAGCTAGGGGTGAAGGTGGTGCACAGCCCCTCAGGGGGAGGAGCTGACTGGGTGTGCAGACAAAGGTGTTGACCACATGCTTACCTGTTCTCACAGTATGGCCCATAGTGACCAGCCCCACATTCGCACGAGTAGCCCCGGGGGGAGCCGGGTGCGTGTATGCAGGTCGCCACGTGCTCACAGGGGTTCAAGTGGCATGCATCTACACACCTCCGTCCAAAGTATCCTGAGGAGACAAAGACCATGTGACCACACCATGGAGCAAGAGCCCCATACTTGGATGTTGTGATCAACCGTGCCTCGCCTGCCCCTCTCCTTGGAAGAGGTAAGGAGCAGGACCACCTGAGGTCACAGTGGGTACAATTACTGGGTGTCTACACCTGGAAGTGCAGGGATGGAGGTCCCTAAGGCCAGCTGGGGAGGGCGAGGGTTGGGGGAGGAGACGTGCCATTCTGAGGTACCTGGGGTTCAGGGTCCATCTGCTGTGGCCATTCCAGGCAGAGTGGGAGCCAAGGGAGAAAGCAGCCCAGCCAAACCTCCAAAGTCCAGGTGACCACAGGAGGCATCATTTTTACGTGTGTACTTTACACCTTTTCTATCCACAGTCTCGCCATGTGCCAATCACCTCAGGGGTTTGCTTTCTGGGTCTGAGGACTTAGGGTCACAGTCTTGTGGGACACCTTGGTCAATTGGCATGCCATAGTTCATAAAGTTTATGTTCTATATCCTATTCCCACAAGTGGAACCAAGAGTCCTAAAAGCTTGCAAGCGGCCATTTAAGACAGGACTCGTGTGGAGCAAGACAGAAGGAAGGAAACCCAACCCTCAGAGAAGAAATTGATTTACAGGGCTGTGTCCATGAACCAGGAGAACAAGATGGGCCTATCATTGCTGACCATTCTGATCAGAGCCGCAATAGATGAGCTTGGATGGAACAGGAGAAAAATGTGGAGCAGGACTTCAAATTTTCAAAAAATCCAGGTTTACTGGTTCTGTTGAGACTGGAGGAATCTTTAAGACTTCTGCCCAGGACTGTTGTTGTTGTTGTTGTTGTTATGTGCTGTGGAGTCGGTTCCAACACATAGCGACCCTGTACAGGGTTTCTGAGGCTGTAAATCTTTATGGGAGCAGAAAGCCTCATCTTTCTCCTGCAGAACAGCTGGTAGTTTTGAACTGTCCAGGGCTAGGATCCTTTAAAAATTTGTAATGGAATCTATCCCCGAAGTCACCTGTTAGCTAAAGAGCAGATTGGTTCATCTAGTGAAGAGTGTCGCCCCTGAGTCCCACCCTCCCTTAAAATCATCTCTATGAGACCAGACGGTCAACAATTCCATCAAGGCTGAAAGCTGGGGGCAGTGAGACTAGGTGAATGCGACGGAAACAACTGGAAAGGAAAGAATGAGGAGGTTCACACCACATGACAAACACGAACAACGGCACAGAATAATAGGCGAGAAATAAGAGGATGTTTGTGAAGACCACAAACCAACTCACAGAACAGTATGTGAAGAAGTTGTCTTTAACAGGAAGCTATTCTGTGCACACGTCCACCAAAACCACAATCAATTATTATTAGAAAAAAAAGGAAATCTAAATGTCTGCTGTACCCCAATAATGTCTGCTGTCCTGGTGTGGCGCTGTGGGTTAATGCACTGGACTGCAAAATCAGTTTGAACCACAAGGTCGGTGGTTCAAGCTCACCAGCTGCTCCTTAGAAACCCTATATATGGTTGCTATGGGTCGGAGCTGACTTGACGGCACTTAACAACAACAACAACAACCCCCATAAATAAGCACCAGGAACATATTTCAAAGTGAAGAGACGGTTGCTACTTTGTTGCTGAGCAAAGCCCCAGGCTCCAGACCCTACAGAACTGATGTCATCTTGTCTTGTTTTACTTATGTTCCTTTGTTGTTGTTGTTGTCAGGTGCCATCGAGTCGGAACCGACTCATAGCGACTCCATGCACAGCAGAACGAAACAATGTTCGATCCTGGGCCAACCTCACCACCGCTGCCACCCCCGAGTCCATCAATGATGCCACCTGGCCGATCCATCTCGTTGGAGGTCTTCCTCTTTTTCTCTGACCCTCCACCCTACCCAGCATGACATCCTTCTCCAACGATTGTTTCCTCCGGACTACATGTCCAAAGTAGGAGAGACGAAGCTTAGCCATCCTGGCCTCCAAGGAGCACTCTGGCTGCACTTCTTCCAAAACAGATCTATTGGTTCTTTTGGCAGTCCATGGCACTCTCAGTATTCTCCTCCAACACCACAACTCAAAGGCATCAATTCTTCTACGATCCTCTTTATTCACTGTCCAGCTTTCGCATCCATATGAGGCTATGTTCCTTTAGAACGCTTTATTGTGGTTTGTGCATGAGATTACTGGTTTTAGTTTCCCGTTCAACAATTGACACACATTTTGTTTCATGACCTGGGTTGCAAGCCCCTGACCATAACAGCACTCTTCCCATGTCCTCTCCATTTCCATTCGTCCATCTTCCCTGCCCCTTCCTGCCTCCTGAGCTTTGTTTGGGGCACAGGCTGCTCTTGTGGGTCATTGCTCTGAGAAGCACGTGCCTCTTGGGGTTGCTGTTCACTTTGTAGACCTGTCTTTTGTTTGGCTGAAACATGATCTCCAGGAGCGGGTTCAGTATCTAAGGGCCACCGGAGTAATAACTAGCTCTTATTTATGAATCTGGATTTTGTTCCACATTTTTCGCCCACTCTATCTGTGAACTCATACTGTGATCCCTTTCAGAGTGGTCAGCAGTGGTAACCGGGCACCATCTAGTTCTTCTGGTCTCAAGCTAGCAGGGGCTAGGGTTCGCGCACAGTCCACTGGCCCTTTGGACTCATGGCTTCCTTGAGTCTTTGGTCTTCTTCCCTCCTTTTCGCCCCTGACTGCGAGAGACTAGTGACTGCATCTTAGATGGCCACTCACCAGCTGTTAAGACTCCAAATAGCACTGACCAAGGCAGGATGGGAGATCATTGTCTTTGTGGACTCTGCTAGGCCAACTGATTTTAGTGACCCCAGAACCCCCTGTTGTATGAGGGGGCTTCAAAAGTTCATGGAAAAATAGAATGAAAAGATAACAGAATTTCCCCACAAACTTTCTGAAACCCTCTCGCATTTTTAAACCCACAGATAGGCATGCGGAGGAACGGGGCGCCCACCTCGGTCGCAGATGCAGGAGTAGCTGTCCCAGGCATCACGGCAGCGGCTGTGAAGGGGGCAAGGACTCGAAGCACAGGGATTCTGCAGCTCACAGCCGTCCTTCACCCTGACCTTGAGAGCCATGTCCATGTTCAGGGTGGCGATGTTTGTAGACGTCTCTCCCATCCTCACTCCCTGGGTCAGAGAGGGTGGTCACACTAGGTCCCTGGCTCGGGGCTGGAGGAACCCAAAGGAGCCCTGGGAGGTCCCTGCAGATCAGGGCACCCCAGCTTTTCCTGGGACCCTGTGGGGCATTCTATCCACAGAGCGGGGAAGACTGTGGGTGGGTAGAGCTGTGAGTTGGGGACAGGGCAGAAAGGTCATGTCTGCCTTGGACATGTACACGGTCCATCAGGGAAGGAGGCTGATCACACGAAACTGTCATGATTCCACAAGAAAACATAGACAAGGAAACCGGAAAGAGAGTACTATGGTGGGTGGGAGGATGGCACCCACGCAGGGGCCCCACCAGGAGCTCCAGGACAGAAGGCCTTGAGGCAGAAGCATGGGGGAGGGGCAGCACAGGGCTCACCCGGCCACACGGGGGACCAGGAGCTGGCTCGGGAGCGGAGCTCCTGGGAACGGCTGCCTCACTCAGCTAGAACCCTGGGTTGGGGCAGTCCTGGCTGGACAGGGTGGGGATGGAGGCAGGGAAGGACTGGGTTCAGGATATGCCATGCAGGCAGAGGGACAGGGGAGCTGGACATCGGGGGGAGGAAAGGAGGAAGTTGGGGAGTCCCTGCTCTAGAAGGGAACCTGGGGCAGGGTTGGTCTGAGTTTGAAAGCAGGATGCCTGCTTTGAGGATGTTAAGTTTGGGTTCCTATAGAGGAAATTATCTGATTGTTAGAAACTACTGTGTTTTGAAGCCTACAGTGTATATGTTAAGGTTTTTTGCACCCCGTCCTGAGTGTTTCCTATGTGTGTCATGTGGATGTAAGCTTGTGAGCATCACTGACCTGAGCCAAGCATTTGCGAACAGACATGGTCAATCTGAGAACTACAAGGGTACCCAGCCATGCCCGTGTAGCACCTCCAAGTCCTCCCCCTGCCCAGGCCCAGCCATCAGGGGAGGGGGCCCTGGGTACCTGCATGCAGCCCCGGAAACCTTGGCGCACGGACACCTTGTCTTCAGACATGCCCCCGACAATGATGCTCTTCATCTTCAGCCCGGGGAGCTGGTTTCCGATCTGCACTATGCTCTGTACCAAGAGAAGACAGCGCAGGACTGGGGTCATCACAGTGCCCACGGGAGGGCCGACCAGGCCCAGCGCAGCTCAGTGCTGAGAACGTGGCTGCCACGTGCAGTGCCAAGCCAGCTGAGGGGACCAGGCTGAGGATGAGCAGCATGCAGCCTGCCCTGGCACGGGCTGACCACCCACCCAACGTGCCACATGTGAGGCAGCTCTGATACACTGGGAAAACTGCAACATGCACCAACAATGGCTGATAGTACAGGAATTTGGGGAGACTGCCTTGGATCTAGTACAAGGAATGTTCCAGAACCATAAGCAAGCAGTCTGGGTGTCTCGTACAAACGTCCTGTGTTGCTGGCTCTGAGTTATGGGATCCAGTTTGGGTCAGCAAGTATCCCTGTAAAGTGTTCTGGCTAGACACTACTTTGTCCACCTGGGCCAGGTGCACCTCTCTGCCACCTGGGTCTCCTTGCTCACCCACCTTCATTCACTGTCCACGCCAAGGGCAGGGACCCTGGCCTCACTGTCTTTGTGTGCTTAGAGGTACAGGGACGCATTTGCACTTGCTGCTCAATACGTCTTTGTTAAGGGAATCTGTGGCTCACGGCACCAGTGAAGAATTCCAGACATGAACAAGGACACCAATGGGTGAGTCCTGACTCGGGGTTGACCAGCCAGGTTGGGGGTAAGATACAGATGTTGGGGGACCCAGCATGAGGCAGAACGTGAGATCCAAGCTTACAGGGCTGGCCAGGAAAGTGCAACCCCAAATCCACAAAGTTTCTGGTGGGTGCGTCCTCTGAGAACATAGGTTGAAGCCCTAACTCCTGGTACTTTTGTGATCGTGACCTCGTTTGGAAATAGAGTCCTTGGAGATGCTGCCAGTTAATGTGAGGTCAGACTGGAGGAGGTGGGCTGATTCCTATCTGAACGGCGACCCTCATACAAGAGGAGAGGACACAGTAACAGACACGGAGGGGGTGTGACCAGGTGGAGATGCATCAAGGACACCTGGGGCTACCAGGAGCCGGGGGAGTCAAGGAGCATCCTCCCAGAACCTCCTGAAGGAGCAGAGCCCTGCGGACATCCAGAACTGAAATCTAACACATCTGCTCTCCCAGCCACCCTGAAGCCTTGGTGTGGCCGCTCTAAGGAATGAGTACAGAGATCTGCCCCTCCTCACCTCGTCCATCCCGTAGTCCAGAGTCATCACCGCCAGGTACTTAATGTCCTTGCCCTCCTTGGCGCTCCTCAGCTCTATCAACAGGTGGTGCCACTCCCCATCAGTCACGCGGGATCTGGGTAGCGTCATGGACACCACATCCGAGGGGCCGTGGAACACCTCAAACTGGAGGTGATCACCCAGGATCTGCAGGAGAGAAGAGCCACACTTAGCAAGTGACCCAGTGATGACCAAACAGACCATGACTCACAGGCACTGAAAACTCAAGGACATAGTTTCCATAGGGCCTGGACCCAAAACGGGACTTATGGGGTAAGCAGAGTTTTACTCGACTGTAACCTTGAATGCTCTTCAGAATGACATGGGCAAGCCATGGAGAGAGATTGTGGGTTTGGTTCCACACGGCCACAGTACATGGACTATCACAATCAAGTGAGTCACACAACTTGGTGAGTTTCCCAGTGCGGATAAAATTCACACTGACAGTAGACGGCAGTCTGCTTAGTGTGCGAGAGCATGATGGGAAATTCGAAATGTGAGAACAACCAAATGGGGACACAGAGACATGAAGTAAACACAGGCTGCTGGGAAAATGATGCTGAGAGACCGACTCTTCAGCAAGGCGAGAACGCACCAGAAAGCGCAATACAGCAGAACGCACTATGGTGACATATTCCAGCATGCCCTTGTCTATGGCAAAAAGTGTCAAATATTTAACACAAGTCAGGAAAAATGAGGCTGGAGAAAAACCTATTAAACTTAGAGTTTAGGACCTACCACAGATTTAGGTGACAATTGAACTTTACATTCACCAGCTGCTCCAAGGGAGAAAGATGAGGCTGTCTGCTCCCGCAAAGATTTACAATCTTGGAAACTCCATATAGCAGGGGTGGTGGTGGTGGTGGTGGTGATGGTGGTGGTGATGTACCATGGAGTCGATTCCGACTCATACCGACCCTGTACAGGGTTTCCCAGGCTGTGAATCTTTACAGGAGCAGAAAGCCTCATCTTTCTCCTGTGGAACAGCTGGTAGTTTCGAGCAGGGGTAGGGAACTTTTATTCTATCAAAATTTATGACATCATTCGCGGGCCATACAATTTTATCAACTTAAAAATTAGCCTGCTATCTTTGGCCAAACATTTAATTAACTCACTACTAGCATGGTGCTGTGGGTTAATGCGCTGGACTGCAAAATCAGTTGGAACATAGGGTTGGCTGTTTAAGCTCACCAGCCGCTCCTTGGAAACCCTATACAGGGTCGCTATGGGTCAGAACTGACTTGACAGCACTTAACAACCACAACAATGTGATGACTGGAACTGTGGTGGCTTTGGCAAATGATTTCACAGGCCTTATATAGCCCTCAAAGGAGCTCTGGTAGTATATTGGTTACGAATCGGGCTGCGAACCTCAAGGTCAGCAGTTTGAAACTACCAGCTGCTCTGCGAGAAAAAGATGAGGCTTTCTGCTCCCGTAAATGTTTACAGCCTGGGAAACCCTGTACAGGGTCGCTATGAGTTGGAACCGACTCCATGGCACATAATCACCACCACCATACAGCCCTTGGGCTGGACGTTCCTCACCCCTGAGATTTAGGGTCCCTATGAGTCAGAATTGATTTGATGGCAGTGGAGTTATTGAGATCTGATGTTTGGGTATGGTCGGGTGGGGTGTGCTGTGGTGTCGGTTCCGACTCATAGCGACCCTGTACAGGGTTTCCCAGGCTGTAAACATTTACGGGAGCAGAAAGCCTCATCTTTCTCCTGTGGAACAGCTGGTAGTTTCGAACTGCTGACTTTGAGGTTAGCAGCCCGACTTATATCCACTACACTACCAGAGATCCTTAAACACATGTATAAAAGCAAAACAAAACCTCCCAGGAAATCAGCATTGTAAGGAGCCTAAGACACTCCAGTTTTGCAATAATGTGGCTGGGACAGTACCAATGAGGGAACAGGTAACGGGCCCAGCCGTCCTCCCGAGAAGACCTGGAGCAGTGAGATGAAGTATTAGACCAGGATACAAGAAGGGGAGCCGGGGGTGGGTCTGCTTTTTCCACGGCTGTCAGACAGGAGTCCCTGGGAGGGGCAGATGGTTAAGTTTTCAACTACAGAAAGGTTGGCAGTTTGAACCCACCCAGAGGTAACTTGGAAGAAAGGTCTGGCTATCCACTGCATAAAACTCTATGGAGAATAGTTCTCCTCTGCACACATGCACTCTGCTCCATGAGTCATTATTTACTTGATGAAAACTGGGGTTTTTCAGTCATCAGCTCTTCTGGAAGATGCAGTGGACCCTGAGAAACTTCAGATGTTTTATAGGTTCAGGGGCTGGAGTGACAAAAATTACAGTTCAGGTCCTGACCACATTAGGAGATCAGCAGGAAGCAGCCCAGCTGGGCAAAAACGGGAATGAAAGCCTAGATTTTGGTTATTTCAGACCATGACTAGATTCAAGAGGTCTGGAATGGCTGGTTCCTCTATCTGCCTGCCAGAGAACAACAGCTTTGTGTTATCTGCTGTTGTTGTTGTTGTTAGGTGCCTCAGAGTCAGTACTGACTCATAGAGACCCGATGCACAACAGAATGAAACACTGCCCGGTCCTGGGTCAACCTCACTACTGTTGCCACGCTTGAGCCCATCGATGCTGCCACTTTGCCAATCCATCTCACTGGGGGTCTTCCTCTTTTTCTCTGACCCTCCACCTTACCAAACATGATATCCTTCTCCAGTGACTGGTCCCTCCTGACAATATGTCTGAAGTATGAGAGACGAAGTTTGGCCATCTTGGCCTCCAAGGAGCACTCTGGCTGCACTTCTTCCAACACAGATCTTTTGGCAGCCCATGGCACTTTCAATATTCTCCTCCAACACGATAACTCAAAAGAATTCATTCTTCTACAGTCTTCCTTATTCACTGTCCAGCTTTCACATGCATATGAGGTTACTGAAAATACCATGGCTTGGGTCAGGTGCACCTTAGTCCTCAAGCTGACATCTTTGCTTTCAACACTTTATAAAGGTCTTGTGCAGCAGATTTGCCTAATGCAATACGTCGTTTGATTTCTTGACTGCTGCTTCCATGAGTATTGATGGTTGAACTAAGAAGAATGAAGTCCTTGACAACTTCCATCTTTTCTCCATTTATATGGATGTTATTTATTGCCAGGAAGAGAAGAATAATTCTAATTTTGTATGCACCTAATAACAAAGCCTCAAAATCTACAAAGCAAAAAGTCAACAGGAATATGAGTCATTGATGAATCCACAACTGTGGAACTTTTCAAGCTTTTCTTTCTCAGTAACTAAGAGGACAAGCAGATCCAAACCATCAGCAACACTACTGAAGAAATTAACAGCACAACCACCCAGCTGGCCACATTCGCTGCCGTGCAGAACACTGTATCCTATGACGAAAGCACAGTCTTTTTTTGACTATGCATGCAACCATCACAGGAATGGGTTAGATGCTGGCCATGGGGCAAGTCTGGATACATTTCAGAAGTCTGACATCACAGACAGCATGTTCTCTGACTGCAATTACGCTGGAAATGAAAGCAAAACAATTTTCTACAACAGAAAAGCCAGGGGGCTTCCAAAATTGCAGAAAAATGGAACGAGACGATCGTGGGAGTTTTGCACGCACTTTTGCTTTTTTGTTCTGTATGTCTGTCTCTGTTGAATTCATGATTTGTGTGCTCTTTCTTGTGTGTTTCCTCATAGTTTTAATG